CTATATATATATATATATATATATATATATATATATATATATATATAGGTTTCACACAACATCTAGTCAAGAAAGCAATTCAGCTGACTTCATTCTTGCTGCCTTTGTTATTCTCAAGTAGTTAATATCAGTTCTGCCCAAGAAGATATTAATGCAATACTGCATGTTGTGTAAGGATGTTAATAGCAGTGTCCTTTAGTGGTCATTCAGATAATGAATTGAGGTTTCAGCCTCACCAATGCTGAATGAGAATAACCAGTCATATAAGTAGTGCTAATCACTCTAGGTAAATACAACATTTATTGTGAACTAAGGAACACTGTATTTAGGCAGTCTAGAGCATGATCTTGAAGAGAAACAGTTGAAAGAATTCAATAAAAGCAGCACAATAAAGATTGTTAATTTAGCATTTCACTTTTTTATCCAATCTCACTATTCCATCTAACATCAACACTCAGTAAGATACTTAGCATTACTTCATGTTTGATATCTCAACTGAACCTCCAGTAAAGCAGACCTATTCATAAACTTGATGGTTAACTCAGTTTACCTAACAATACTACATATATACAGCTTCTTTAGGTAAGTCCTTAATACCAAGATGAACTGTTCAACCTATGTAGGCAAGTAAATGCTTAATACAAATACCAGACCAATTATTTGTTTATTTGTAAGAAAGTACATAAAATTCACAACTACCCTTTTCAATCCTCAATTACTTGGTTCCTGATGTGTGCTTCTGGATAAACATTCTCTTTAGCAAGGACTAAATCTGGATGACATTTTGATAGTCTTATAATTGTCTTCATAAGAGTGCCACAAGAGTGCTGAAATGTCATCCTGGTTTAATCCTCTCCAGGCAACTGTTCATACATAAGTAGAAACTGTGATTCAACCTCTGGCTGTGAAATGTATTAAATAGTGGTTGAATTACCTGATGATAGTTGGGCTAAAATTGGCTCAGCAGCTTCAGGTGTGCTTGCAGACATAAGGTCTTTGATTATGTAAACAGGAACAGATCTTTGATTTTGTTTTTCTGCTACACTGATCAGTTTTTTGAAGTTTTCCTGAAAGTATACAAGACAGTATTTTTAAGACAACTTTTAAAAATATTAAAGCAGTTATGACAATCAAGGAGCACTGTTTTTTGGTTAGCATATGGTTCTAGTTGTTAAAATATGTTAACTGTCTTAAGTACTTTTCAGTTAACACATATTAAAACTTCATTGAAAATCATCTAAAGTAAAACATGGTGTATTGAAGTGTTTAACCCATCTTCAAATCATTATTCTCACAAATAAAGAAAAAATTACAGATAAATTAAAAATTCTATAAAGCAATTCATTCAGTAATGACACATTTTTATTTTAAATGTTTATTCTCTTGGACAGTTATATTTATATCAGCTTAACAAAGCAGCATTTTATGCTAATCTAATTCTCTAAGCAAATAACTGTAAAATTCAATATATATATACATATACAGAAATTTTATAATTTTCTGACACTCATCAATACAGTAAAACATATCTAGATAACTGTTTAGTTCAACTATCTATAAACTTCAGTGTTACAAGTTACCAATATATCGAATATAGTGTTTTTAGTCACTGTATACAGAAGTTTATAAACTCAGTTCCATTCCAGCTGTTACAGAAAACTTACCAGTCGTTGTTGTTGTCTTCCTTGTTGTTTTTTCATTAGTAGTAGCTCCACAATGATACTTTGTTTATTGGGATCTACTGTCTGAAAAATAGTTCATTCAGTGAAAAAATATTGTTTCATATTTATTTTACTATTTACTTCACCATTGGATCTTCACAAGAAATTTATATTCATATAAGTCACAAAATAATGTATAAATATATTTTATTCTTTCATGGCTGAAGGATATTGAATAGTGCATCAGATATTGTTATGAGTACAGAGGTGTTGGAGCTGGGGGTACTGTAACATCCTCACTGTTACATATAAATTAAAAATTTATACTAATTTTCTGGGGAATATATCCCCAGATTCCTCTAGATTGAGCTGCCTTTGGCAGCATGGGAGTTGCTTTTAGCAGCTCCTTATACTTTTAATATATCATTGTAAAGTATGTATTTTTAGTCAAGAACCCCACTTTGCAACTGCTTACCTTGAGTAGGTAATACTTTCATGCACAGAATTAAATTTCAACATTATTATAAAAAATATACATATTCTGATACAAGCTAAAGGATAATGTTTGAAGTAACTACTCTTCAAAATAACTTCAGTGGCATAGTATTACATGTACAATGCATGTCACAGTTTCAGCTTCACACAAATTACATGGCACAACTATAATACACATAAAACAGTTTTCATATCTATTGCACCATATATACATGATATATGAACATACCATGTGTTTCTATTGTTTTTCAATATTATTTATTCCAAGCTCATCATTTATGCTGTATATGTGCAGGTTTCACATAATACAGTTATGAAAGCTGTTAAGTATATTTTGTTCTAACTGCCTTTGTTCCTCTGTTTTTTTTTTGAGGGGACAATACCTGTTCTTTCTCGAATGGTGGGATATTATTGCAATACTTCACTTGTGCAAAGATGTCAAAATCAGCATCCTTCAGAGGTCATTCAACTGATAGTTAAAGGTTACAGCCACCAAGAACACTGGAGAGAGAATGGAAGTACTGCTGATGGACAACATTCACCAAACAGAGCTATCTCATCAGCTGGTGAAATGGCACTAAATGACCAAGTGATTGAATCATGGGGCAGTGGAGAGCCTCACCAATCCAGGATATACAGCTGAAATAGTGGATCATATAGGAGCTTGGAGTCAAGCAGAAATAATAGATTATTTTCTGAGTGCACATCATCATTCTGCTACTCTATAGTAGGGGCTAATTACTCATTAGTGTCAAGATCCCTGAGAAACCCTACTATGTTGTGCCCATGGTGATAAGGACATCTCAGTAAAATGATGGTTGGAAAGTCATGAAGGAAAGCATTTAGCCATGGTCACATCTGTGAGTAAAACAAAACAGATCACTCCACTGACATTCAAAGGTACAGCAAAGGAGTATTTGAGTCAGTTCCTGAAGAGTTCCTGCTAGAACCTATACAAGCCTGGTTCTAAGTTTAGACAATCAAACTCTAGAATCCATTGATTACTTGACTGAAAAGTAACAATGGGACTATAGGACAGTCACTACTGAGTTTCAATGGAGGTTTGACCTAGAGGAAAGTAGAGCAATCCAAAAGGCCAAACTCACAGCTTGGAAGAAGCATACCTTAGAAAGCTTGAACACTTTCATAGATGATTTACATCATTTGCATAGTAAAGCTTACTCTGTAATGTGTTCAGTGAATCACTAGGATACTCTCATTGACAAGTTTGTGGATGGGCTACTTCATAAGAAGATATGCTATAGTCTGGATATGAGAGATTTTCTCACCTTTACTGATGCAGTTTCTTTTGCAATGCAGTACAAAGTGATAACTTTGAGCTGTTCACAAGAAGCCTAAATTGACTTATCCTCAGATAGATTGTACTACCTAAGGATCAATCAGCCATCCACACATCCTAGTACTGTGATACAACCACATAAACAGTGAAGGAGCAGGGCTATTTCAGTCTTCCCATGGTTTATATGCTGCACTCCATGCAGCAGATGTCTCCACAAGGAATTTATCCTAGAAGGGAGGAGTGAAGTATGTGCTTTGCATGTAGAACATTGGGTTATAGTTGAGTGAACCACCTATGCCTTGTCAAACAGCTGATGGTGCAACAGGTACAGGAGAGCCTATAACAAGCAGTGGATACTACTACTGCTAGAGCTCTGGGAAACTAGAGAAGCCTAATATGAACCTGGCCACTGACTTGGGAACAAACAGCTTGCACCAAAAACGTGTGGTGATCTTAAGGCTGGGTAGGTCTTGGTATGTGCCTGATGGAATACAAGGGCAAAATATGGAGTTTCTGGTTGATAGAGACGTAGCCAGAACACAGATAGATCTTGCAGTATATCAGTTGTTCTGAGCAAAACAACTACTCAGGCCAGTTACAGTACCCCTACATGGAATTTTGTGGTTTACAACTGAATATAGAGCTCACACAGGAAATAAATTGTATCTTGTCCTGAAAGCAAACAGCATTAACTTGGGCAATTATATGACCTAGGGGATAGAGTCATGGTCTTGTTCTGCAATTATGATGACTGGTTATCCAGTTGCATTTTGAGATGGTAATCAGCACAGAAAGTGAAGTTAAAATAGCCAATGCTAGCATTAACATTAAAATTGCATCTGTCATGCTGCATATGAATATAGACACACAGATACAACACATCTGAGATCACTAGTTGAGGATTGTGAAGAAACGTAAACAATTCAGTGGCAGCAACTTATCAATGAAATATGCTGATGTAGTTTTGGGACCATGTGGCTTACTGCATCAAATAAAAGTCACACATCATCAAATAGGTACAGGTGACACACATCCAACAATCACTGAACAGGCTTCTCTGAAGCACTAGGGGGTAGTCAGTGCTGAAGTACAGCATATGTTAAAAGATGGAATCATTGAGCCTTCAGTTAGGGTTTGGTCATCTCTAATCATGATTGTTAATAAGGAAGGAAGGTACACACAGGTTATGCATTTATTGTAGAGAAATTAATGCAGTAACTTGCATTGATGCATTTCCATTATCAAAAACAAATGAATGTCTGGATGCATTATAAAACACTGTTGGTTCAATACATTAGGCCTAGCATCCAAGTACTAGTGAGTCAAACTTGATGATAAGAGAAGATGTAAGACTGTTTTAGCATTTAGAAATGGTTTGTTTGAATTTTTTGTCATGTCTTTCATCATGTGTAATGTGCCCACCACATTTGGGAAAATAATGGAGCTTACACTGAAGGGGGCTGCAATGGGAAAAGTGCTTAATCTATGTCACAGACATCATAATGTTTGGTTGCATATTTGAGACTGTAGTTCAGAATTTGAGAATAGTACTCCCTGCAGACAAAGAGGGCAGGCTTGAAAGTGAAACCCGGAAAATGTGGTCATTTGCATAGAAGTGAATTTCTCAGTCATATTTTGGATAGAAACTGAATCTCTGTGGATCCTACTAAAACAGCATTAGTGTGAAAGTAACCTCAATTTTTAGTCAAAACAAAAGTCCATAGTTTCTGAAGTCTCTAATATGCTTCACAATTATCATTTCTTTCTAAGCTGATATGCACTTCAGATGGAGAGAGGAATGCAGTTAACCATTCTAGTCCCTGAAGTGTTTTAGGAGAAGCCCTATGTCATGTTTTATTGGGCTGGGACTCTTTACAATAGGTGTCTGTGACTTGTTGGCAATAAATTTCAACAATAAATGGACAGCACACAATCCACTTGTTTTAAAAGAATATATTCAAAATAAGTGAAACATATGTGCAAAACTTTGATACACTATTGATTATCACAGTTGTATTTAGAGCTTTAAATAATTGTCTCCTTTTCATCAAAGTTCACAAAGGTGGGTTCAATTACTTTACAATACCTTTTGATGAAACAAATTATTCTCTTCTGTCTATGTTATTACAATACAAGCTGTGAAACTCACTTTAAAAATCACCCATCATAGCTAAACTGACAATAACGCAGTCTAACTTCACTAACTTATTTACTTTCTGTATCTGCATGTATTCATAACATGTGACAGAAAAACCTAGAAATATCTATCCCTCTAGTAACAATAATATTACACATAATGAGAAAAACCTAGAAGCTACGAGAAAGATGACATAAACAATATTACAAAAGCCTTGTACAACAATTAAACTACATACACAATAAACAACTCCTACAGAGTTACTTAATGAAACTTCTCATAACTATCACTCTTAAGATAATTAACTTTTTACACTCTTATTATGAAAACTAAATAATCATTGAATATTAAATCACTAAATAATAACTCTTAAACTGAACAGTCTTGTATATTCAACAGTAAGCCCCTCTTCAAGAAAACTATTTACAATATTTTTTATATTATATACAAAGACTGTTCTCAGGTCTTACATGAAATCTACTCATCACATAGAATACCTGTAGGGCTTCACTTTGACTAGATCCCTTGTCTTCATCTTGATTTCATGTTACATAAGGTCTGTCCTGCTTAATCTATCTATATACAGGCAAAGTAGATCTTGTACATCTTTCTTCTGCTTGCCAGTCAGTTCTTCACTGATGTTGACATATATGTATTTCTCATCTCCACCCTGAGTCTTAGGTCTACTGGGTCTTTATCTTCTATAACAATGTCACCATCTTCTGGTTCTGCATCTATGGCAGCTACACCTGCCATGTCCACCTGTGCCTCCATAGTTGCACCCATTAGGTCTTCTTCTCTATCGATGTACCTCTTCAATAGATTGGCATGGTAGATCTTGGTCTTCCTATCCACTCTCACTTTATGGTCCAGTCTGTTGAACATTTCCTGCACTTCAAAAAGTCCTGTCCACTGCAGGGTGAGTTTATTGTTGTCTGTAGATAGCAGAACCAAAACCTTATGCCCAATCTTGAAAAGTTGATCCTTGGCCTTCTTGTCAAAGAAGTGTTTCTGAATTCCTTGAGCTGCGTACAAGCTCTCTCGAATGAGTTGACAGGTCTCCTCCAGTCACTTTCTGAGGTCTAACCCATACTGGTATGTGTTCCTCACTTCTGACTTTTCTTGTCCTGTTCACAGGTCTTTTGATATCTG